GGTCGATGTCGGTGTCGATCGGTCGGTCGTTCGGTCGGGCGCTTGGCATTAGCATTTTCAGTGTTGCTTTATTTTTAGATGCGCGCAAAAACGCCACAACAAAAACGGCAACAAAAATTGCAAGTGTCTGCGTTTGGGTGTGTGTGCGTATGCAGTATGTGTGTGTGTCTTCGATTTTGCTTGGAGGTGACTGACTGACGGACTGACAGACTGACGGACGGACGAACCGACGACATTTTTGACATTGTGACCAGCAGTGCTCAAAGCCTTCTTGCACCACATTCAGCTGAGGTTCTATGAGAAAATGACAATACGATCCCGGGAAACTCAATCACTTTCCAGCTACTCCTAAAAACTCTTTTAGGATTCTATATTCTATAGAGGATCTATAGATCTATAGGCGAAACAAATAAAACCACAGATAACTTTTCTAAATCAAATAATAAATGATAAAGAAGAAAAATGAATAATCTATCATATAGATTCTTTTAATTCATATTGAGATTCATAATTAGGGGTTGAGATGTTATCTTTAAGATAAAAAATAATTTTATTAAACAACAAAAAATACAATATTCCGATACCCCTGAGAATTTCCGGTTCACGCCACTGATCTTTTGATTATATTATAGAAAATATTCATATAAATTTAATTGCAATGCAATATGGATCTAAGGAAGAAAAGTTTTTGAAGGTGATATTCACTCCAAACAATATGTTGAGTTTATAAACAGCAAGAAAACCGTTTATAAAAATGCTTACGTTCAAAATGAGGAACAAAATAAATAGCGGTATTTGATATCATTAATGTTAGGACCCTTTACATAATTAAAATCTTCTACAAACCATGTCAAATTAATTTAATTCGACTTCGCAAGTCACCACCTTATTAGTGATTCCAATCCCATCTCCTCGAAAAGCTAATAAAATAAACCGAAACGAAAGATTGCTGGTCTCGGCGGTGACAGGTTGAGAACGTGTTATTCCCGATATTTGTCTCTGTCCATATGCAGTGCAGCTTTTACCAATTTTTCGGAGTCACATTGCTGGCTTTGGATGTCGAATGTTGGATGTTCCCTGAGATAGTTGCTGTAGTTCCTGGAGACGCGTGTTGGCAAACGAGTCAATTGGTATGAACTGTCGAACTGTCTTTCGTTTTCGGGCTACAAAAGCGGCAACTGCATCCGTCTCTGTCTCTGTGGCTTGGCCTCTCTTTCTGCGGCCTGCGATTTGGCAAACTTTGGAGATCGTCCCACACAAATACGGCCGCTTGAAGACACGGGCAATACTTCAGCACACCTTGACTCGCCTTGCCCTCATCAGCCAACCTGGCGGCATTCTGTGGTATCTCTCTTCGAGTTGTCAACTGTATTTTTTTTTTGTGCAAGACACTGCGCCCTCTCACCTTGCCCCAGGTAAATATACCTTCTTCGATCTGCTGCCTTTTCTTTCTTCGCTTTTTCACATATTTGATTCATTGATGTACTGCGTGGATGTCGTTCGTTATATGGCGATTTGTTGTATGTTGGCCCCGCGAATATATGGCCTACACCCTGACAAAATTATTCATTTCGATTTGATATAAACTGCAGTCGCTGGTTATAAGAATGTGATTTAAAGACCCAACCGGTAATAATATTTAAATAAATTTTAAATTGTGATTTCCGTGTGTCGAAAGAAACAAGCAGGAGTTACTTCTAGATATAAATCGATTTGCTTGTTTTATCCGTTTTAAGCCGAAAAACAGTGTGTTTCAGCCACATGTGTATCAATGATTTATTGCAGTTTTACAAGTGCAATGAAAAGTAGTTGACAAGTAGTTGAGCAAATAGTGCAATCTGAAATGTGTCAAAAACAACAGCGGGCCAACACTTGTCTCCAAGCCAAGTAACATATCAAATCGCGCCAGGTATCGGTAAACTGTGCAATTCTCGTGAAAACTCTACTTGCATTGAGGCATGTTTTATCTAGTTAAAATAACTTTTTTATTGGGTTTAAAAGATTATAAACAATTTTGCAATACACACTCGAATTTTGTTGCCCAAGTATATCTGCCGGATAAAGAGATACATATCTTATTATATTCACCTATTTATCTAACCGAAAGTTTGCTGTCATTTGACTTTTTGCCTGGCCAACATATAAGATGCTTATATCGCATATATGTAGGTATATATATATGAGCGGCAGAAATGTATCTCACAGATACTTGAACGGCCCAGGCTGCCTTTTGTTCTTCTTGGCAGTTCGGAGAATTTTTTTGCGCTTAAGCGAACTTGCAAAAGATCACAGACCTTCTGACCTCTCGCTCTCTCGCCGAGCGCCCTGCAAAAAATATATACGAGCAAAAAAAAAAGACTTGAGTTGGGGCTGCCAGAGATACAGATACCGAAGTACCACAATATATGCATGTCCCCTTTGCCCCCATACCGCCCCCCTCCCCCCGCCGACCCCTTCGCCGATGTCGTCGCCGTCGGTCGCAGAGTTCTAAAAATATTTCGCCGCCAACTCAGGTCGCATCGTCGGTCGTCGCCGAGATCCCGTCATGGCCCGGTCGCCTCCGTTCGCCTTTTTGGTCTCGTTTTGGGTTAAGTGTGCGGATCTCGCATCTGTAGCCTGGCTATATATACGAACGCGTCCATACCTATATATTTATGCACATATATATATTTCTTAATATACCCTGGCACAGGGTAATACCATTTGGCCCACAAGATTGGGAGTGACGGAAGATTCTATAAGTTAGGACAGTAAAATTGGACAGCTCAAAGGTCTCTTAAGTCTCTCAAAAAGTTCCCTGTTGTTGGAACTTAATAAAATTTTATCTAACCCACGCTTCTACTTTAAAATTTGTTAAACTATATTTGCAATTGGAAAATCTCGACTAACTTCAGAAAGCACTACCTTATAAGTAGGGAAAGATTTTAAGGGTAATCAATTTAAGAGGTTTTCAAAAGATTATTTTAAAGTACATAGATCTGAGCAGTTCTAGGTCAAAAGATCATTTGGGTTGTTCCCGAAAACCCCTAAAATCCCCATTTACTTTACAGATGACCTTGGATAACGAGCTAACGATCGGTTTGTGCTACTTTTGTTACATAAACTGCCTTTTATAGGGTGTCCAGTGTTTCGGATCTGGAATTACTCTCTGCCGTATCGGTTCCTTCGTTTGACGTCTGCGACTCTTGAGGTTGTTCAGGTCGTTCAGTTTTGAGGCGAATCGATTTCGATTTACATTGAAAATTGTCTCTCGATAACGAAAGTATCCACAGCGGAGGAACAAAGGAAACAACGATTTTTTCATTAGAATAATGCGATATGGGCAATTAATATGCATATGTTTCCTATTCGGCCGTTTGTTGGTTTTGTTGCGAAGTTCAATCGAACAACAACTGGGCAAATAGGAAAGTGCAATGCAACACCGCCAGACAACAACAACATGGGCCCAAAGCGAACAACTGCAATATGTCTGCTCCACTCTCGCCCTTTCCCGCCTCCACCCACCGCCACCCACTCCCCTGCCACCACCCCCTTTGTTTTTTTTGTGTTGATTGACGAGTGACGAGGCCAAAGTATCAAATGGCCAGCGGCGACACAGATATGCCTCCGTATACAAATACAGTTACAGAACACGCCTACACTTTGTTATCCACCAGAAACCCCCTCAAATCCCCCGTCCCCGACCCCGTTTTTGACCCTTTTTGAGGTCTTCTGAAGTTGTAAAGTCGCTGATGTTGATGTTGTTCTTTCTATGACTTTATCGCGGCTGCGTTTCTCTCTCTCTCTTTCGCTTGCTCTGCCAGCTCGTTCCCACTGCCACTTGAACTCTGACCAGCTGACCTTCAGTGAACTTTGCGGTGTGTGTGTGTGGGTCTGGGGGCGATCGGAGGGGAAGAGGGAACTAGAAAAAGAGAGCCATGGCGCTGGGGGCCGCAGAGCATTACATACAGTGGAGACTGCACTGGTATCTATCACTAAGTTATAGATCTAGGACTCACTGTACTGATAGAATCATAAACCTTTTTACTTTAATACAAGTCGGTGCATAACGATCAATGGCCAATTGTGGGGTGTATGTAGTTACGCAAGGTTTACCAACAACTTAAATTCTTTACACAAATAAATTAATATTAATTATTTCTTTAATTAAAACACACCCCAATTCAAAGCTCCAGCACCTGTCGCCTGAGCACAGCACTCACTGTACTGATAAAGCGCTCTTAGCCTGCGCTCTCTTCGTTGCGTTTGTTTTGCTCCACAGCTGTTTTTCCTGCTCTTCGATACTCGCTCGCTCTCTCTTGACCTGCACGTGTGTGCCTGTCTTCTCGTTATCTCTCCGGTTCCTTGTATACCCTTTCAAAGATTTTATATATTTGATCCGATTTTTGTTAAGAATCTTCCACCCTATTAAAATTATAAATGTGCGACTTGCATCGTCAAAAATGTTGATCTCGTCGAATAGTTGGTTGATTACAATTTCTTTAAGTCTGATGATACTTCATTAAATACAGTTGTCAAAACTAAACCTAAACTAAATCAAACTACATTAATTCTAGAGATTCTAGAATCTTCATCAAAACTTACAGTGTCTCGCAGCTTATTTCGTGCAGTTACCTAAAAAATGTTCTAGTCGTTAGTTCTGCTAAGCTAAGAAAGATAATAGAAAAATTTAAATGTAGTATTTTAAAAGGGAACAATTTTTTAATAAAAACAAAATGTACAGGCTTTTTTCATGCCGCAGCTTATTTCGTGCAGTATGTTTTAAGTCAAAAAATTGAACATTTTGTCTTAAAAATCGCAGATATTTTTATTATTTGATCATTTAAGATACAGCAAATACATATTTCCGAGCTTTTTCATACTAATATAAAGAGTTACAGGGGAACTATAATACAAGCTTGTTACAGCGAGAGAGCATTGACTCGTCGGCGTCTTCTCGCCGGCTTTCTTCTCGCTTTGTTTTCTTATTTGTTGGGGGCCGCTCTCGGGCTCTCCCGAGACTGCGTTCAGTACGATTTCGTTCGTGCGGCGGGCAACTCGTGCAAATGCGAAAATAAATAACAAACGCGGCGGCATTATCAGTGATCGACAGTACAGCGATCGGCGGATCGGCGCAAAGCGCGCGTAAATAGAGAAGAATATAAGTCAAGAGGATTGATAAAAAGCGTACAGAAAGCGAATGACGTGAAAAGTGTGAGTGTGGGGGCGTTGTGTAAAATGAAAGATTAAAAAGTTCAGAGAAAAGCGCTTACGGCGGGAGCAAATCACATAACCGTAACGGTAACAGTTTTGACAGGAAAAACGCAGGAAAAAGTCACAAAAGCAGCGCCACAAATCCCAGCTAAAAATAGTCCGCAGAGAGATAAAAAATCACTCTGACATTTTTGTTTGTGGCTTCGTTCGCTTTTTTACAACAAACTCACGTGTCTAACGACACTTTGACAACAGAGATACAAATCTGTTTGGGAAGCTGAGCACGTGACCACCAATTAATGAATGAGACAGCACCAGAGAAGATAGAGCGAGAGAGGGATAGGGGAGAGTGCGAGCGAGATAAGTGATAACGTCGCGAAGAAAGAAATCCCGAATCTTATGCAAATCGAGCGAGAAAAAGTGAAACGCAAAATATCAAGTTTAAAAGTCAAGAGTCACAAACGAAATTAAATAAACAATGCTTTAAAAGTTCAAAGCTTCAAAACACAAATGTTAATTGTGGAGCAAATTAAAAGCAGAGCTATACAATTACACGTTTAGCAAACGGAAATAAATTAAATCCATATATAAGGTGAAAAGACGTGGAATATCGGTCACACCTCCTAACAAGTTAATAATATGTATCATGCACTACATACATAATAATCCTTAAAAGTAAACACTTAACAAAATAAATAAAAAAACAAAAGCAATACAATTACATCTACTTCGACTTTTTCTAAACGAAAGACAAATTGACAACACAATTAGTGTCACTTTACTTAGTTAGTCGGGCAACAATCAACGGGGAAAAAACAAAAAGGTGAATTGAAATTTTATATTGTGTCTAAAAAAAAAAAATCATAAAAAACATTAAAAGAACTAGATACTGAAACAACCGAACGATAAACAAATGCATAATATAAATGAAAAAGCTGTTTAAATATTTGATAGCCAACCGACCGACCTTAAACTTTTTCTTTGTGTTGCTAAAACAGAAAAGGTTAAAGTTCCGATACAGTTTTAACCAGATCTTAAACAAGTTTAGATGTCATTTTTGATACGTTTTCAAAGCATGTGTTTTGATCTTGTTATCTGTTTTAAATTAAATGTTTAGCCTAGGCGAATGTTTAAAGTTTCTATTATCAAACAAATTATCAATCTTATTTATAAATTTTATTGTCAGCTCACACAATTATGATATCATATCAATGAAGAATTATAAAAGCTTATAGTGATTTATCATTTTAAAGACATTTTATACTGTATCAAATTCATTAAGGCGATTAATGGTCTAATTAATAACTAAAAGTTGTAAGGGTTTTAAATATAAATAATCAATATAATGAATGTGGGTAGTAGAATATAATCAGTAAGCCACTTTTTTAAGACAATGAATCAAATATCTATTTACCGTAAAATAGTATATTCCTTTTTCAAAACCCTTTTGTTTTAATTAATTTACCTCTTTTGGCTCATTTGACACCGCCAAACATTTGACAATCGACAAATTAATTGAGCCAGCATTCAATATCATTTAATTGCCCACATCACAAAACAACACACAAGAATGGCAAAACTTATACTCAAAAAGCAACAACCATTTGACAAAAGCAAATTAATTAAGCAAACACCCAAAGACAAGCAAGCCCACAAAGATGCATAGATACAAAAAGTACATAAACCCGTAACGATTACCGAGACTTGGACAATACGAACAGAGATAAATTAGCAGCATAAATGGTCAAAACAACTGAAACGGCTAACAAAACCTGGCAACTTAATTGAAGAAGTGGTCGAGCGTAAAGTGTTAAAATAACTTTATAAACCCCATGATTTGTCTTTACCGCATGTCTATCTCTTTTTTTTATTTTTCCCACTATATATTTCCTGCCTTCACTTCACTTGCAGCAGCCAGCAGTGCGAAAGAGACAGAAGCGGATCGCCAGAGAGAGAGGGCAAATCGAATCGGTTGACGACGGCGGAGGTTTGACAATATGTTGAGCCCCCATAATGAAGGAAATTGATACGGAGACAACAGTAGTATGGCCAGCCTGGTGTTATTCCGGTAAGTCATGCCGGCCCACAGCCCCCCGTTTATACTTGCTTCCCAACTCCGAAATGGAGTGCTTCGTAGTATTATGACAATAGTGTTTCAGGGAGGGGGAAAGTTGTTGAAAGTTCAGCTATCGCTTTACGCTATTATATCTGTGCCGCTCTTAAATACCCTGTTATGAAGAGCCAAGTTAGATTGTTAGGGAATATAGCTAAACCACTAATACCAGAGGTTTTTTTAACAACAAATATAGATTCTTGAAATGATGGCTTCAAGTATATCTTAGTTTTATCGAAACATTTTTCAATGTAAATCGTTTAAGCGATCGCTTCCGATTTTAAATTCAGGTTTTAAAACAGCTGTAATGATTTATACTATAGCAGTAGGTACCGTTAACTCAAATGTTTTATCATAATGAGGTATACATAATTGTAGAACTAACTCAAGGTGTAATTGGAAATTATGACTCACAGGGTATCTCAAAAGTTAACCACTCCCCACGATTTCCCTGCATTATTTCTATTTGTTTTTATTTACTTTATTTGTTATGGTGCGCTTTATTTTTTCGGGTTTATATTTCTGACTGGACTGCGCTGAAAGGCCGATGGCCATTGAGGTGGCTTTGGTTGTTTTGGCTGTCAACGCCCGGTCGGCGGAGTTGTGGCCTACTGTTTCTGCCGCTGCAGTTTATGATCAAACGTTTTCCGTTTCGACCCTCCTTGTCTTTTGGGATTTTTTATTACGAGTTTTTCTCGGCTGCTGCTGCTGTAAATTTGTCTCACCCAGAGACCTTTGGCTTTGCTTTGGGTATTTGTTTTGTCTCTTTCTGTTTTTGACAATATTTATGGGGGTGTGACATTGCTCTGTTACTCCGTGATAGATTAATTAGATTGACCAGTGTTGGTCAGTTCGGTTTTTCGCTCGGATTTTTCGATATTTCACTTGCTCTCGGGAGTCAAGTATCTGAGCCATGATGTCATGGCTCCGTTTCTTGTCTCACCTTTGACTTTTGCTTTTGCTTTGGTCACTCGAAGCCAGCATGCAAAAACGAGAATTTCTGTTCGACATGCACATTGTGAAACACAAAAAGTTATAATGCCAAAACAACAATATATATGTACAACAGAATCAGTAAAAAGTAAAAGGCAGAACTGAAGTCGCGAAAAAAATCATCGAACAGTCACCAAACCAGGGAGAGAATTGGATATTTTTGTGACGTCAGAGATGTTTTTGGAATTCACAAATGAAGAAGAATATATTATAAGGAAGATATTATAACTGATTTTATGTTTAATATGTTTTTCAAATAACTATTAAAGAGTTTCCTGTCCCACGAGTTTCTGAATGACTTTGATTTTTGGTCTCAACGTCGATTTTATCATAATCTTGCTAACCATTAAAAAATATATTGGGTCATGCCTGTATAATTTTCGATACTAATTAGCATTATTTCAATTTCATTAAACTGGAATAAACTCAATTATTCGGGAATACAAAAATTATCGAACTTTTATCTTTACCACAAAGAACAGTATTGATAAAGTGGTTATAAAACCAAGGGGATGTTAATACTTACTTACTTTGTACTTACCCTTACTTATATACATACTTTTGCAAACTGTACCTGAGGCATATCTGCTTTTCCCTGCGAGTTGTCAACCTTTTGACCATGCAAAAAATGTGGCCAAAACCACTCCCAAAATCAGCGAGTTCATCGAATATTTTTGAGCGGCAAATTAAGCATTCAGCATGCAAATTTTCATTAAATAAAAGGTAATTCCCCTCCCAGAATAAAAAGGCAGCCGCACTTCCAATGCGTCTCTCGATTTGACTTGACTTTGACCGGCTCCTCCTGCTCCTCCAGCTCCTCCAAATAAGGCAAACGGCAAGGGACGGCTGCGGAGACAAATGAACGCCCAAATGGCCGACAAGTGGCGATAAAAAAAAGAAACGTATCGGGCTGCAGCAGCTTTAAAATAAAAATAATCAGAAATAAAAATAAACAAGCAACTGATGCCGAACAGCGGCGAAGACGACGTCGCCGATGATGATAATGATGAAAAAGATCGCTCGGCGGGCAAAATTAAAATGCAAAACGAGTCAGCACCGCAGTCCCACCGTCGGGAAGGCGCAGGGAAAAGGGCAATCGGCCATCCAATACAGAAGCGACCCGTTCGCATCTCCATCGCAGCCGGGCCAATACCAAAGCCGGCAAAAGGTATAGTGGTAGCTCGAAAAAGAGTTCTCCATAGTACACAATAATCGAATTATACTGCAAAGATCTCGCAGAATTAGAAAACCGATTTCAAATATTGTAAAATTTACCGATTAAAATACTACCAAATTGAAACTGAAGCCCTGGCAAATTAACAACACCTTTCAAAACGAACTAAAAGCTTTAAAATAGAATTCTACTGCCTAGATTTCGAAGAACTAGAAAACACATCAAAACAACACCCCTGGCAAATGAACAATACCTTTAAAAACTAACTGAAAGCTATAAAGGAACTCTATAAATGTTTATATAAAAATCCTTAATAAGCTTGTAGAATTATAAACCAAAGTAAGACTTCGAAATATCATATTGTTTTTAACATTATATAATCTATCTTCTATATATCTAATCTTCTATCTTGAAATACAATTGGTACATTTGCTTTTATGTATCTGATTCCTATAGTTAGGAAATTGAACGTCTTGTTATTTCTAGAAATACACCTTGAAATATCTTTAAAAAACCCTTTTGAGGCTTCACTGTACTCACATAATATCAATATGAGTTGCCGGCAAAGGTTATAATGCATCTCCATCTCTGCCGCCGATCCGCTGCCGCTGTTCTTGTTTGCCTTTTGCGCTTTTCACTCGTTGGCACTCCGCTCAGCTTGTTGCTTTTGCTTTTCGCTATGGCTTTTTGTTTTTGCCTGACTTGACTCCGAAACCTTTGACGCGAACTTATGCCCTGCGAGTGGCCATGGAATGTTGACTTGCTGTCTGTCTGGGGCCGAGAATGGCGAATGAGAATGAGTCGCAGTCAGGCAGAAATCAGAGGGACCAGCAGATGAAGTCGGGGTAATAAGAAGCTACTACTTGAATAAGTCCGATTTTTAAACACACTTTACTGATGAAAAAATAAGCATTTTATTCTGTAGATTAAAGGATCAATAATTGTTTTAGTTCCTTTGTACTCATAGATATTTTAAGATTGATAATGTAAAATTAATTAAAAATTTGTAATTGTGAGTTGAGCAGATCTATAAGAATTTGCTTACGCTCTTCCAGAAGTCCGGGTTCACAACCCACCCCTTCTTCAAGAATTATCCGTGTTTTTTTTAAAACACGAAATATTTTTAATACCACTATTTTTCTTTTAAGAGAAATCATTCTGATTACTTAAACTATTAAACAAAACCACATCCTTTTCGAGAGGGCATCAGTCATGTGAATTAAACAATGCTTTTAGGTCCTATGTATGCTTTATATGCCGATGGCGTGCAGTAAGTCGCCAATGACTTTTAAAGGCGACTGCGCAGCAGTTTCACCCCTGCCCTCTGTGCTCCCCCTCCTCCCCTCCTCCACCTCATCCACCTCCTCCTCTGCCAAAGTCATCCTCGTATTTTTTATGTGTGCTCAACTTTGCACTCGGAGCAAAGTCAAAACGACTTGGGACACGCACACTTGTTGCTCTTTGGCATTGGAATTGCCTTACGTGGCATGCAAGCTGAAGCACGTTGCACGTTGCACGTTGCGAGTTGCTGCTGCACTTATTTATTGTTTGTTGTTGCCGTGGTTATGATTTGCGATTTTTTCCCGCATATCGATGGCCACTTGGACTTGGTCCGCTCCCCTTTGTCTTAACCCCACCCCGAATCGACGAGTCTTGAATCCGGAATCCCTCATGCCCTCTTAGCACGGTAGCCGCCGCAGGGCGCAATTATGCCACTTGTCGGAATTTCACTCAGACTGAAGAAGAAGAAGAGCAGATAAAGCCGACGTCGCGCCGCCGCAGTAGCTCTGCCTTTTTCCCCATTCAAGCTGAGGACTTGGTATCGAGTATAGGGTACAGTGACTACTAGGTATCATTACTTTCAAGCCTTGTACAAAGATAAATCACTTCATTAGGTTGCAGTTCATTAGGAAATAATACAAATTAATTTCAAGATTCTGTAATATTTTATGGATATTATCTTTGGTTGAAACAGAGTTCTGTCATATTCCCGGTATTAGATATTTTTAAATGGAATTGATTATGGTGGTACTTATTCAAATGAATTGATTATAATGATCATAAATGACTTACAGTGACCATAACTTTATCTACCGTGGATAGTGGTAAGCATTTTGAAATAAATGAACTTCAAACCAGTCAAAAAAGGAAGAAAAAGTTAAGAAATTTTTGTTACGCCCAGGACTCTCTTATGCCAGTCTTTACTGTACCAGGTACTGGATATGTGCGGACTTAAATTCATTTGTTTTGTTTCTGTTTCGGTCGCAGCTTGCGAGCCTAGAATCGCAAATGAGCAAAACGTGTAAATTATACGCGTCGCGGTCACAGCCCAAAGCAAATATAAAAAAAGCCGAAAAAATGCGACCCAACGTAAGGTAAGGACCGAAGGTACATACTTACAAACAGCGACACTCATGTTCGATTATTGGCTGCCACTCAAGTGGGAGTCGAGTTCAGTCAAAGTCGAGCTCGCAGCTTAGTCGTTGTCACCCAAAGTGTTCAATGGGTTTGGGCGACACTCCCGCACAACCAATCGAAACTTTTTCATCAAACATTAGAGATGGCAGAGACCCAAAAAAAGATCGATACTTATCGATTTGGTAAAGTCAAAAATATATATTTCGATATCCTTTTTTAACCGATTCCCGTCGTCATTAATTTATTAATTTATCTACTTTAAAGCGACTCTTATAACGAAATGGAGCACTTTAAATTGTTATATATTGATCTAGAACTGTGACATCATTTTTGTTCATCTCCTTTCATAAGTTCATCATTAGAGTGACCC